CTGCAGCATGGCTCTACTACGTATCCTCCCTAGTCTCTGCGCTTCACAGACGGGTTGACAACCGCATTTTTTTAATAATTTTAAAGTTTTTGTCTGGAATATTCTGCTGCCTATCTCCTGTTTAATATCCCACTGTCACCTCTAACGAAACCCATGAACCGAAATTTTGTAACCATTTATTTTAATTTTTTTACGTTTATTTTTACTAATATATACCTTTAAATATAATCTCTTTTGGATTTATTATATTTAACTCTATGAGGTAGTGTATATTATTACGAGTATGCCGCCACTAAACGTTAATGTAGATGTGAAATATTAATGTTAATAATTTAAAATTAAAAATTTTGTACAACCAACTTCAATATATATAATTAAGGATAACTCAAAAACAATTAGTCAGACCTTAATCAACTTTATATGGGACCACATAAAAAATCAGCAGCTTCCAAATAAAAAAAGAATCATCGAAATCGGTTCACGTAGAACAAAATTATAAGGCAAACAAAACAAAATATACATTTGAATTGAGTTTCCCTTCCTTTTCGAAGCCGGTAGAAATGCTAGTTTTCACGGCATTATAATCCTCTATATAATAAATTAAACATTATTTGTAAAATAATTATATCTAATTATCACTACGTGCGACGACACTGATCCTTAAATTAAATTTCGCATTTTCACTAATTGCTGACGATATTAAGCCGCTTCATTTCATATGCAAGCCCGTTTCCAAAGATTGTATAAATGCGTCGCTTAAAGTAAATTCACCTTAATTACGCATTTAGATATGATATCACAAAATTATCTTTAGGGTATCATTGAGGCTATTTGGCCAGGAGAAACGAGCACCCGTAATCATCAGCCCTTTTGGCCCTAGCGGCGCATCTATGGCTCTGCCGTCGACCAATTTTCATCTGTGGAGAGTAGGGAGACCAGCGTTTCGCAAAATACCGACAAGTCCGCCTCCTCGCGGCCCCACCACCACCAGAGTCGTGGAGAATAGAGCGAGCACCGCATCGCCATACCAACACACTTCATCTCATCACTTATTCAAATCTACTCAGAGTGAGAGGACACCCCTCCCACCACAGACTACCAACACGCATCCTAATGCGAGTTGGTAGTCTGTGGTGTGCTCAGCAAGCCCACTTGGAGCGGCGGCCTGAGGCCGGCCCTTCACCTCGGGCCAGACAAGTGGATTCCTCTTTATTCACAGTGGGTGATCAAGTCGTAGCAACTGAAACTATACACTGAAATTATATTTTTTTTTATAAAAGAGGACCATAAGAGCAATGTATGATTTAAAACATAATTAGTCGCTAACACAAAAATTTTAAGAAATTAACATATTACCATTGGCCTAGCAATACATTCACGAAAATGTAATGTATCCACACAAAAATAAAAGCAGTTTTAAAAAAATAAGTATTATTCATTCTGTAAACATTAGGAACCCGAGTCAGTAATTCATTCTTTGGGCGATGTACGCTTTTACAACAAAATCCCAGAAAATGTCACATCCGCAAAGTTCAAAAATATTTTAAACAAAGTTTGTGTAAAAAGGGTTATTATAATATTAAGGAATTTATGGATGATAATACTCGTAACCCCTGCGAATGAGGTGATCGCTACCGAGCTATTTTCAATATTATAATTTGTATAGTTAACTGTACAACATACATGGTTGTAAAGTAATAATTTTTTTTTTTAAAGTCCCGCTGGGCTTACTGATGTTCTTCCCAACACAGAGGTATTTTTGAACCAGTAGTAAATTAAACATAAAACGGACTTTCAGTAAGTATTATTTATAATCTGTATTGAATAAAAAAGTTTATATTTCTATTACAGCTCTATGGTTACACCACACATTTTTATTTAGCCACGCGTCGCGTGTATTTAAATTTAATTAATTAATTGCAATCTCACAATCGGCAGTACGTCAACAACCGTCCTTCTAAACACCAACTACTCAAGGAAAGATTTGCCACTCTAACTTTATAACTATTTTACTTTTATTAAACTTTTAGCTTTGGTGATCTTTTCCTTTTGGCGTACTCATTAACTAACTACAACTCAACTTCTTGAAAGTGTGTGGTTTTACAAACCATACAACAGCTAACAAGATGAGAGAAGACAAAGGGAAATGAAATAGAAGATGGGCAGCGGCATCTTTTTGATAATAATTCATGATAAAAATCTGTGGTTGCCAGGGGTATTAACTATGGCTTGATACATATGTTCAGCAGCTGGCTTTTGATAGGCAGTAATTACCTAACGCAAAACACAATATTTAAATTAAACATTATACATTTCTATCTCCGCTATTCCTCGCCAGCACCAATGAATTTTTTTAATTACAATTTTAAGTGCTGATTTACCAAGTGCTCGGCGGTGAAGGAAAACATCGTGAGGAAACCCGCATGTCTGAGAAATAAGAGAAAACAATATTTCGAAGACATGTGAAGTTCGCCAACACGTATTCGGGCAGCGCGGCGGACACTTCCTTGCCCTAAAACTCTCTCAGAAATTAGAGTAGGCCTGTGCTCAGCGGTGGGACGTATATAGGTTGTAACTTTTAACTTTTTCAACTTTTATATTTCTATCTACGGTTGATGCATTTTGATAGTAATAGAGCTTACGAGCAATGTAGAAAGAGGTTTAGTCGGAGCAAGAGGCTTTTAAGAGATTATAGCAGTTTTAAAAGTTTGTATTTCCTTCATGACGCGAGTTGTAGCAAAACCTCAGGCAAAACTATATTATAAACCACCAAGGCTTACTGATTTTGTATTTGTTAAGATATACATAAACGTTTATAAGTGATTCTAATACCTCAAAAATACATACTTATTGTATTTTTAAGACTGCTTGCTTACCGTTCAAATATAATAATTTGGTAATTCATACTATCACCTATATATAATTCTTACTACACTATTTATTTAACTATAAATAATTCATACTATACCATTTAATTTCAATTTATCACTTGCACGAGTTCTGTTTTAGTTAAGTTATATTTTATCATATGAAATACATAAATAAATAAAAAAATGTGATTATAAGAAACTGATGACATCATTTATAGCAATTATTATGAATCGACCATGATCGTGTCTTCAAGTCAAGAGTGAATTGACTTTTTTTAAGTCAGTGCGCTTTAAAATTTTCGGCATCACCAATTACCATCAGGTGGGATAGTAGTTAAGCGCTGACTAAGAATATTAAAAATTGACTGTTTAAAAAAACATTTCATTTGACATGTGCATGTATCCTATGGCACATTAGGCCATAATAATTTTTAATTAAAAATTTATAATACAACCGACTTCAATATAAATTATTAAGAATAACTCAAAAAAATTGGCCAAAACTTGATCAAATACTTACGGGACCACATGTGAAGCACCAGCTTTCAAATAAAACAAGAATCATCAAAATAGGTTCACCCAGTAAAAAGTTATAAGGTAACATACAAAAAAATATATACAGTCGAATTGGGTACCGGCTCCTTTTTGAAGTCGGTAGACAAGGATGTTCCGTTTCTTACTATCCCTTATCTATATATATATATATATATATATATATATATATATATATATATAAATATATATATATATATATATATATATATATATATATATATATATATATATATATATCATCATTACAGCCCTTCACAAGTCCACTGCTGAACATAGGCCTCCCCCAAAGAATGCCACAAAGCACGGTCCTGAGCCACCTGCATCCATCGACTTCCTGCATATCTTACCAGGTCGTCACTCCATCTAGTGGGGGGACGCCCTACACTTCGCCTGCCGGTACGAGGCTGCCACTCGAGAACCTTTCTTCCCCATCGGTTGTCGGTTCTTCGAGCTATATGGCCGGCCCATTGCCACTTCAGCTTACTAATCCGTTGGGCTATGTCGGTCACTCTAGTTCTACTGCGGATATCCTCATTTCTGAGTTTATCACGCAGAGAAACTCCGAGCATAGCCCTCTCCATAGCTCGCTGAGCGACCTTGAGCTTCCTCATCCGGCCAGCAGTGAAGGACCACGTCTCAGTTCCGTATGTCATCACTGGCAACACGCACTGGGTGTACAGTCTCGTTTTCAAGTTTTGAGGTATACCTGACGAGAAGATGTGCCGTAATTTCCCGAACGCTGCCCAACCGAGTTGAATCCGTCGATTGACCTCTCGGTCGAAGTTGGACTTACCTAGTCGGACTATTTGTCCCAGGTAAACATACTCGTCAACAACTTCGAGCTTAGTGTTCCTAACAACTACCGGCATAGGTGTGACATGGACATTAAACATGATCTTTGTTTTGTCCATATTCATCTTAAGACCTATCCGTTGGGAAAGACTATTGAGGTCATTGAGCATAGTGCTTAGGTCCTCCAGCGATTCTGCCATAAGGACTATATCGTCGGCAAATCGAAGGTGAGTGATGTACTCGCCATTGATGTTGATACCGTATCCTTTCCAGTCCAGAAGCTTGAAAACATCTTCCAATGCAGCGGTAAAGAGTTTCGGGGATATGACGTCACCCTGTCTTACACCTCTCTGCAATTGGATAGGTTTCGTACTCTGGTTCTGTACTCGGATAGCCATCGTAGCCCTACTGTACAAGCACTTCAACACTTCGATATACCGACAGTCAACTTGGCATCGCTGAAGGGACTGCAGCACCGCCCAAATTTCGACGGAATCAAAGGCTTTCTCATAGTCCACATACGCCTGACATAGTGGCAAATTGTACTCCTCGGACTTCTGTACAATTTGCCGAAGGGTATGTATGTGGTCTATGGTGCTAAAGCCTTTTCGGAAACCGGCTTGTTCGGGAGGCTGGAAGTCGTCAAGTCTGCGCGCGAGACGATTCGTAATGACTCTCGAAAACAGCACGTAGACGCGGCTCAGAAGGGAAATCGGTCTGTAGTTCTTCAAGAGAGCGTTGTCGCCTTTCTTGAAGAACAAGACCACCGCACTTCTGCTCCACGCCTCCGGTGTAATGCCACCATGAAGGACGGAATTAAAGAGCTTCTGAAGGACTTCAAGTACCGGTTTTCCACCCGCTTTCAGAAGCTCCGCTGTAATTCCATCCTCGCCTGGGGCCTTGCCGTTTTTAAGGTGCTGGAGAGCCATTCTAATCTCGCTCAGACTGACGTCCGGGATATCATCGGAATAATGTCGGATAAGACTCGCTCTTGGATCGTTACTCACACTTGCGTGCGGCTCCAACGATGACGTGTACAGCTGCCCATAGAACCTCTCAATCTCACTCAAAATCTCAGGTTCCCCGGAAACGATGCTGCCACATTCAGTCTTCAGCTTTGACAGTTGGCTCTTTCTGGCAGACAGATCTCTGGCAAAGACTATGGAGCCTTGGTTCCGCTCGATCGCTTCTTCAATACGAGCTGTATTGAAGTTGCGTAAGTCCCGCCGCATGCATTTGGAGATCTGTCTGTTCAGTTGCCTGTATGCTGTCAAATCTGTTGAAGAATGTAGCTTCATCTCCCGTCTAACAGCCATGAGATTAAGAGTGTGATCGGAGAGTTTTTGTGTTCTTCTGCGGCGGGTCTTGCAGAACTTAGCTCCGACCGCATGGACAGTTTCCACGAGCTTGTCATTCATATCTTCCACTTCATTGCAGTCTTCTAGGCACTGAAAACGGTTTTGTAACTCGAGCTGAAAGGTTTCGGGACTTTGGATTAGAGCACGAGGGGGACGGAGCGTTGACTTCATTAGACGAGACCTCTCCAACTTAACGGTTAGGTTCAGTGTGCCTCTAACCATTCGGTGATCGCTGCCGGTTTTCACCCTCGCGATCACTGAGACATCACTGAACAGTTGTCGTCTGGTCGTCATAATGAAGTCAATCTCATTATTTGTCGAACCGTCGGGGCTCGACCAGGTCCACTTCCTGTGGGGCCGCTTCTGGAAGAAAGAGTTCATCATAAAGAGTCCCTCTTTCTCCATGAAGTCGGCCAGCTGCTGGCCCCTTGGGTTCCGTTGCCCTATTCCAAATTTCCCTACTTTCAGCTCACCGTTCTCTCTTGTGCCTAGTTTTGCATTGAAGTCTCCCATTAACACCGTATATTGGGTTTTGGAGGAATGCATGGCTCTAGAGATATCCTCATACATTTCCTCCACCTCCTGATCGGGGTGTGCCGAGGTTGGTGCGTAAACCTGTATGACCTTCAGCGAATACCGTTTGGTGATTCTGAGTATAAGGTACGCAACCCTCGTCGACATACTCTCAATCTTTACAACGTTGTTAACGAGAGACTTGTGGACGATAAATCCGATACCTCCTTGGGACAGATGGTCGCCCTCCCGGTAATAGAGCAAGTTGCCGGATTCGAGGATTACCGTGTCCTCCCCCTCTCTTCGGACTTCGGATAATCCTATAATATGCCAGCGTAACTTGTCTATCTCTTCTTCCAGCTCCACAATCTTCTCGTCAGTCCTCAGGGTGCGTGCGTTGTATGTTGCCAGGTCGAGTCGTCGTAGGTGGCAACCGAACCTCCACCGGAGATTCTTAGCACCCCCTGCCCCGCCGTTACCATGGTCGCCACCGTAGCCAGGAATAGCGGGGCCGCCGGGGACTGGGGGCCGTTTATTATTGTCATTGCTCATGGGGGGTATATTGCCATAGTTGCCACGCTTGGCGAGCGGGTTGGCAACCGCAGTTTTTTATTGTTATTTTGGCTATTATCAGGACGATGCTGCTGCCCATCTCCTGCCTGTTTCCCTTTGTCGCCTTTTACGACACCCACGGGAAGATATGGGGTAGTGGATATTCTTAACCGCCACTACACGGTTATATAGGTTATATATATATATATATATATATATATATATATATATATATATATATATATATATATATATATATATATATATATAAAAAAAAGAGATTTCCACCTATGTACTGACTCATCACGATATATCTAAAACCATAAGGCCTAGAGACATGAAATTTGGTAAGAATATTCTATTCACCGAATAGATTCACGCATTCAGCTAAGACGGATTTTACGAAATCCCACCCGCACGGGGGGGTTGGGGGGGCTTTGATTAAAAAAAATTACATTTTCAAACTATAGCTCTTATAGGTATAAAACTTGGCCAGTGAAATGTTTTGTGTGCGTTTGAGTGGGTCCCTGGACGGCTTGGATTCACAATTGGAACTGGGAGGCGCTCTTGTCGATATCCAGAAATCACCCGTGCGAAGCCGGGGCGGATCGCTAGTTCATAATATGTTAAAAGAAAATCGACTCGCTGGTACAGAAAGAGACGTAAGTGTAAAAGATCACAAAATCGCAAGCCGTAGAAAGACATGAGCTGTTGTTAGCGTGTAATTTTATGTTGCAAATTGTCCACAAACCAATGTATGAACTGGATTACTTGCTCATCTGCTTGATAGAAACCCGACCACTTTCGAGTTTTCAATTGAATGTCCACTGCTCTTTTACATTATAATTATCATTATTTTTGTACTAGAAAAGACAAAGACATTCTATATTTAACTTAAAATCATCTAGGAGTATATCATCTAAAAGTTTCATTTGAAAATTAATAATTTTCAAAAGAAGGAAGTTATAGACTTCGGCTTAGACTGAATCAACCGATAGAGATGGCCGACACGGCGTTCGAAAGTGTTCATTGGGACTGACTAGATTTTCAAGTCAATCAGCCGTTTCAAAGATTTTCAAAAAATAAAAACTAAACGTAAATTAAATAGATTTTCAAGCGTTGCACTCGAAAGTAAGCGGTAAGTTCCAGGGATGACCTGCAAGGTCAACCGTTTTTCAGATTTTTTAATCTGGATCTTGTCTACGTCTCAGAAGATATTCAATGCAAATATAACAATTCATATCAAAAATATTAAATCTGGTGAGTTTCTCTCGCTTTTTTTCTCTCTAATCAATGGAAGGAAGAATATTATGTCTGTCATACGAATAGTTTTCTACGTATATAAAAATTTAGATAGTCGAAAAATAAAAAGATTTTATTCCATTTGTATAATTAGATGCATCATTTGTATAATTAGATGCATCATTTGTATAATTAGATGCAACATTTGTAAAGAGCAGTACCAGCTCACAGCAAGTGATGGAGCGGCGCGGTGAGAAATCTAGGTAATATGGTGGTACGTTGAGCTATAAATGGGCGAACGATTAGTGGACGGGAGTAATAGAGATATGAACTGTTGCGAATTAGGAATAAATATATCGCAACTCAAGAACAGAACGGGAAAGCAGAGTAGAGATCATCTTATTCATATTATTCAAAACTGCACGCGTCGTTTTCGTATTTTTGGTAGATTTTATCATTATCGATATACATCAAACGGGTGTACGTTGGCGCAACTAACAAGCGTGAACTGCTTAAATATCAAAAAAAAATGTTTTCTTTTTAATATTTAAAATCTCTACTTCTTAAGAATATCTATGTTAATAATGACAAAACTTCAAATTTATTTCAATATATTATATAAATTATATATTCCAGACGCAAAGCAAATAATCAAAAATAACCACAGTATACTCGTACTGAACACAAAACACCACAGTATACAAAAAACTCATGAATAGTGTTTGTGTTCCTCGAACGATAATGATAAGGATATTTTTCTTTTATAAAGGGAATAGACCAACGAACTTACAATCCACTGGCTACGGCAATCCATGGAGACCAACTTTAAACTAGCAAATGTGACTGGAAACGAAGCATTCCATCTTAGTCCTCAGGGGTGACAACGCATCTGCGTTTTGATTCTTAGTCGAGGATAAATGTAGATGTCTATAGACCACAGCATCCACTTACAATCAAGTGGGCTGTGTGCTCGTTTGTATCCTTATGCTATAAAAGAATATAGCAAATAGTTAGTATAATTTTCGTGTATAAATTCAAAGTAGGACAAAAGCCTTTTTTGTTTAAAGGATCCATTTTAAAATCTCTCGCAGCGAGCGAGCGATCGCAGCATCAAACGTTTCACTCTCCTCACCATATCTGTATCTTGGATGCATGTTGGAATTGCGCATAGACAAACATTTAAACTCGGAAGAATAAGTACGCCATACTAACGCCTGTTCCCTGAGGAATTTAAAGCCAACCGCCGCACCAAGCCGTTGAAAGTAAATTAACAATTCGCATCTGTCCCAAGATTCGGCACAGGCCTCCTCTTTTTCCTGAGACGGTTTGGAAATATAGTTCTGTTTATGCTCGTAACACAGCTTATGTGAGTTAAAATAGAATCCAAAAGTTTTATGGTTAAGCAACTATAATTTACACACGAGGCTTTCACAACAACACAGAAGGAGAATAGAGTAAGACTTATAAGCATAGAAAGTTCACATTAACAGCTAATAGAAACTCTAGAAAGATAGCACAAAAATAAGAAGTCTGAAGTGAATGTATTAACTACAATAATAATCTCTTAAACGAGTAAGTAGGCGAACAGTATGGCATACGAAAACGTACTAGTGGCGCAGTTCGAGCGGGCGGAGCAAGGAAGGCCAGCGGTGAACTGATTTGCTGGTGACGGTCCCGATGCAATAGTTCCGACCGCCGCATTAGAACAATAGCCGCTTCTAACATTTATGTACATGTAATAAGTTTGTAGTATTGTCTGTTTGTAATTATGAAATATAAATTTATGCACAAATAATTTAAAATTAAATATGAAATTGAAACTATTTAAAGTTGTTTATAAAGTAAATTATACATATATTATTAATATGCTATAATATTATTATACCACAGGAACAAGAAAAGTCCACGCTGTTACTACTTACATATTTGTTTATCGTTATTGCTGTAACAAATATCTGCATAATACCAGAAACGTCGCTCATCTTCACGCAGATATTCAGAGGGATAGTCATAATCCAGCACGCGAACCCTAGGTATTGCCAGTAAACAAAGCTTAAATCGTATACTGGCTTACACTCACTGACCTTTGCTTGACATCACACTAGTGTGAATGAACCCCTTAGAGTGCGGCAAACGAATCTAATATTGGCGTATTTTCCATTGGGACTAGAATCAAACGTGATGGGAATATCTTGGATAGTATATCCGATTTTGCGGTTTCCGGTACGGGTTGCTCTGATTACTATCGGGTTTGGTCAGCGGCTTCGATATTACTTCGAACTTTGCAGGCGCCGATTGATGACTCATAAATCTCGAACAACTTAACGAGGGAAGATGTTTTTAATCGTACTTTTTAGGTT